TGCGTTCGTTGAAGATTTATTCGTTCACGAATTTACACGGTCGGTAGATAAATAACATCAACATGTAATCCAGAATCAAGATATTGGATTTAATCAATCCTGATAGTGGTAGGTCTGTTGAGAGATTTATGGCGCCTTGTAAAACGAGCTCAAAACGCAGCCGAAAGGCTGTAATAAAAGGCATTTTTTTGTCATTCATCACAGCCTTACAATTGTGTTCAATTTACACTACGCATGGAATTCTGCCATTGTGATGTTAGGTGTCTTCTGATGATGAAGCAAACACTGAATTTTTCTATTTTTAGTTTTGACAATTGTTTACTTGAACTTCAAAACACTCCTGGTCAAAGTCAACTATTCGTTGAACAATTATTGTTGCATTATTAACTGCCCGATCAAAAGTTGACATGATTGTTGTTTGATGAGTTGTCAGGCCAAAGAAACTTGGATCCAAACTTAGCTGTGGTAGCCTATGAACCAGGAACTGTATGTGCAAGAAGTATTATAATGATATTGCAAGGTTTATAACGTCATAAATTCTGTTATCCTTCAATTATGTATTCGAAATATCGCCCTTAAGATTTATATTGTGAAGCGACTTGATAAGTTTATGATACTGAAAGCTTTATGACGTCCTAATTTCTGTTATAGTCTCATTATGTATAGGTATTTGACCTCCAGCACGTATAATTTAAGGAATAAGTTTATGATATTGAGAGTTTGATGACGTTTTAATTTCGGTTGATATTGAAAGTTTGATGACGTTTTAATTTCGGTTATATCTCATCATGTATAGGAATTTGGCCTCCAGGGTGTTTAATTTAAGTCAGCTCTCGTAAGTCTGAAAGGGAAATGTATCCAGGTCCATAAACTTCTCGATTGCTCAACAACTTTATGGGTGGGCCTGTCAGTTGTACGCGAGGTCATGTAGCGAGATTCTCACTAGCGTCGCCAAGCTAGAAGAAGCGTATTTTGATATACAAATTTTGTCTTCACTTACTGGATGGAATTTTTTTTACTATTAAGACACTTAGCTATATATGGAATTGGTTCCTCTCAAAGCTTCTTTGCTAATTAATTAGTTAGAAAAAAATAATGGAATCCTTCTTGTCCATCCTGTGAAATTTTTTTCCGAATGAAGTTTCTAAAGGTTTCGTGTAATTGAGTCCAAATGAAATGGTAGAGTATGTTGCAATAAGACGGTGCAAGTTGAAGAGGTTGCAGGAGCCGAGTTACCTGAGCTGACTTCTTATTAGCTGAAGCGACTCTCATGTTGCCGAACCTCTTCTCTCTCCTGTGAATTACATTTCTAACTCAGCCGCCCTTCAAAGAAATCATCCACTTCCTATTTATAGCTTGGAACGTTCAAATCAGTCATAAAGTTCGAGCGAATAGAAGAAGTTTTCAAGAGTGATTACGAACAAATAGATGAACAAACTATTTGAAAATGTCATCTGGTTTTACGTTTTTTTACAAATTACTTCTGTCTTTGAATTTTCAAGCCTGCTCTTTCATCATTACCTAAAAGGTGATGAATTTTCGCCTCAAAATGAATGACATCTTATGGCCTGCAGAAAAGTGACGGAAACTTGGCAAGAAAAATTCATTTTTAAATTCTTACTCCGCCAGCGGTTTTGAAGTCAGGCCTAAAGAAGACAAAATGAAGGCTAGGTCGCTCCTAAAATCAGTCCATACACGAACAATCTTATAACTCCTTATAAAATAATATTTGGATCATAATATCATTATTTCAACCGCTTACTTGAATTATCAAGCATTCATTTGTAGCGCATACAACCATTCATACTTTTCTTCCTTTCAATTTAAATAGAAGAATCTTCGCAATCACTCACTTTTTCGTTCCAAAATTTCCTGAACTTGTGTCCTTAAACATGTAAGATTTGTGTCTTTAATGTGGCAAGCAATTTACTGCCCATAAAATTCACTGTTGGGCCTCAACTGGCCTTGGAACCTTGGAATATTGCCAGAACAATTCCAGGATTCCAGAACGGCGTTCTCGTATTATTTATGCACATTACCTTGAGCCCGTGTTTTGCCGGGCGTCTGTTCCGGAAGAGTCTTGACATATTTTATACGGTAGATCCTCCAAGGATGTTTTATACGGTCGACCTTCCAGGGATGTTTTATACGGTCGACCTTCCAGGGTTGTTTTATACGGTCGACCTTCCAGGGATGTTTTATACGGTCGACCTTCCAGGGATGTTTTATACGGTCGACCTTCCAGGGATGTTTTATACGGTCGACCTTCCATGGATGTTTTATACGGTCGACCTTCCAGCGATATTTTATACGGTCGAACTTCCGAGTGCTCTGGATTAGCACTCTTTTAACAAGGTGACATCTTACTGACAATATTCTTTTTCTCGTTGTAAAATATCCTCATGTCTGACTTTCGAAATCCGTGCTCTTTTCTTTTGTTTGGCTATGGTTGCTTCTATATAACAGTTATATATATACGTTAGTGTGGGGAAATACACAAGATTATTCGGTAATTTTGTTGAATCTTGATTAGTTGGCTGGAATCAAAATTTTATTTCTCGTGTCATTTATTGTTACTTGAATAAATTTTACTAACTATATTACTTCAGATATTGAGAAAACTTCGAGGCATTTCAATTTGGTTTATTCGGATGAGTTTCACAAATAATGTTATGAAGTACATAGCTGCATAAGATTTGGTCAAATAACGGGCTTCTGGCCTACGGCGCTCTCTAATGGCCATATTTCTCGAACTCTTGAGAAGTTTTAGCAAGCTTGCCAGCTCATTAAATCTGGCGTATAGACCATGACACTTGCCCCTTTCTCACTCACACTCCATTTTATCTTGTCCCATTTTTTTTATCCACTCCATTTTTTTATCTCACACTCCACATTTCTCCATCCATTTTATCCACTGTAGTGTCATTCATTCTTGCTATTCGTCTATTTTAATTCATCGAATTTATTTGATCTACGGTACTAGTTATGTCCTTGTTGGATATGTATTTAGAATAATACAAATGTATGAATAGAACTTGCACCTTTATAAGCCACTATTACATGCAAACATCATTTTTTTCCGCGATGGAAACAAATTTCTGAGTCTTCAAGTCTCGCGGGATTCAAATGGATCCCCACATTTTTCATTAGAATAACTTGTTAAAATGAACGTGGAAGGATACCCAGACGCAGACGGTTCCTCTACCGGATCCTCGGACGCTTGTTTCGTATTGCGCCTCAGTTAGGTAAGGTCATTGTCGCGGCTCCGGTAGATTTACCAGTTTTGTGGCGCGTGGCGTACCTTAGCTGCCTAATCGCGGCGAAAAGACATTAAGGATCAAAAAGACGATCTTGATTTAATTCTTTACTATTCAGCTATCCCCTTGATCGTCAGAGTCCATCTTGGTGCATCTTTATTACCCTAAACAAAATTTTGAGTCGCCCCAGCTTCTGGTAATCCAAATCAGAAGCTGACGCGTCTGTAAATTTTCACTGGGTGGCCGTTAAACGGACGAGTTTCACTCTATTCCATTTGCGATTCATTTTGTTTCTTGCTATATTTTTAAATATTTTATATCCATACTATAAGTTTTACTGATTTTTGTTTAGTTTACTATACAGTGTTATCTTGTTGCTTACTTATGCCCTAGTTGTGGTCAACTCGTTATCACCTTGTCCGGTCGGTGGGAGTAAAACCACTTGTTCTAGAGATAGCGTTATCACTTTGTTTTATTTCGTTTCATTTGTGAATTGATACACGTGCTCGCTTGGCTCTATACTGAATGTGGCAGTGAACTATGTTGGCAAGTGCTTTCAGTGTTTCTATTCTCGCTACGTCCGATTCTTTTCGTGCTATAGATTAAAAAGTTAAGTTATTTGGACAATATGACGCATGAACAAGTGCGCTTAGTTATTTACCGATGTCGTTACCTCGAATAACTAATGAAAAACATAGGTTTTAGCTGCTGTTGCGTGCTCATAATGGTAAGAACGATGTATCTTCCACTTTTTGTTATTTTTTACAAAACTTAAATAAACGGGTGGATATCTAAGAACTGATTGATATTTCCCAAACTTTTTGGAAATAATATTTCGCGACACACACTAGTGGCAAAGTAACCTGGCCGTTTTCACATGGAAATCTTTTTGTTCTCAAGAAAACATTGTAGTGCTAGTGCTGCTGCTTGAAAACTTTTAATTATTTTTAATAATTAATAAGGTTTATGAGCGCCATCTTGAAGCACATCTTGAATGCGTAGTACCATGTATGGAAGACCTTGAGTCTCGCTCCGGATGCTGTGATTATTATTATTTTCATATTATTATTCTTCTCGTTCTCGAGGAAGTCACATTGTGTCACTGAGTCAGCGAAACAGATGCTGAGTAGCGGAAATGATTTTTTTTCTAACCAAGGATTTCATAAAATTACTCGTGTCTAACTTGTTGAATGCGTTACCTATTGCAGAGATATTTATTGCGAGTATGCTTGTAACAATTGACTATTACCTCTTGATAGTAATTGGTTCCAAATTGTAGGAGATGAATTCATTGTTCGTTGTATGAAAGTTGTTGGAAAACTAGCAGCATTAATTGACTGTCACTGTCCAGGATAGCTATTCGCATAGATAAGAAAATCCTGCAGATAATTTCGTATATAAAGCAACTTTAATAAGAAAAACACCCATTCGTACCCATTTTACCAAAGAATTACCATTTAACCTTCGTTGTAGATTTATAGTTATTTAATAACTACTTCATGAAAGTACTTACTACTGTTAAGTAAGATTACCATATGATTGTGATTGGCTGAAGTATGACGATTAACAAATCGGGGAAGACATGACTGCAAGAGGTTGTATGGGGAGATGAAAGTCCAAATACATAACTTGCACGAAAGAGTTTATTGGTTTAGTTTCTCCCAAAAAAAGAATAATTGAGTTCAAAATATATAGCTTCTATTACTGTGCAGCTTGATTTGACTTGTTCTTTTTCTATTCCAGCCCAGGTACCCCCAAACCTTTTCATTTGACCACGTCTCGTGTTATTGATTTTAAAAGTGTTTCCTCGAACCCTTACTGACCCTAGTGTTGTGTCCCGAACGACTCCACTGAATCAACTAAGATTATTGGCTCTAAGTAAGAAATACTTTAATAATAAACATTTATTGAATAATAAATATTGATTCTCGGAGCCGTGTCTGTGATCAAGTTGCAAAAAACTCTTATTATTCGTCGTAATTTAATGTCTTCGGAACATTTGTGAACTCGTGTGTTTTTCCACGGATTTGTGATTTCAAATTTTTAGTATTTGAGCGTAAATTCGTCCCTAAGCTTCGAGACTGTTTTTCTGCGACCGGTTTCTCCATAAATTGTTTACCCTTCGATTACAATCAATTTGGTGCTTCTCTGCGTTTTCTTCGGATTCCACCGGCAATGAAAGAAAACGAACGGCGGGTGAGTACTATTATATTATAATAGATACATTTTAGAATTGTTGTTCTGATCATCCTCGTACTTTTCCCTTTCTGTGGCATATAGTTACGCGAGATCTTAATTTAATCACAGCTGCTGTGAGTTATTCTGTTTGACGTTTCAGTTCTTCCGTTGAAAAAGGCATAAATTTTCTCTGTGAGGTTGGCATTAGTCCAGTCAACTTGTGTGAAAGCAACCACTGTCGAGTCTACAAATTCAAAGTATTCTTCGCTGGAAATTCTGGAATGCTTCCTACATAACGATGATCTGTACGTTAAATGATGCTTCGACCTTGCTGCGAGCGCGTCTTTTTATATTTTTATTCATTCCGTATCCTTTTTGTATTCATTCCGTTCTGACACACATCCTGACTGGCTTTCATTTCCGTTGAATTGTTGGATGATCTCACTGCAGAAAACCATCCCGTATTCTTGCTGTTGTTTGACGTTACGAAGTTCGATTACCAGGACTTCATCTCATACATGAACGAGCTCAATTACTGAAGCATCTCAATTTCATTTGTGGGTCATCTGCTGCACTAGATCTGCAGGATAATTTGGCTGCGTCGAGCTTCGTAGCTCAATTCAGAACAGGAATGCTAAAAGTCTACGTTTTCCGCCCTTAAAAGCCTTACATTACATTGCGTTAACTTATTTGAAATATTGTATGTGCCATGCAATTAAGATTAAACCACAGGCATTTCATAGAAACGAAAGGACGTACGTGTTATATTAAGAAAGAAAAAAAAAACATTTTGGCATTTACGATGGGGCTAAATTATTTGCATTGTTATATCAGGTTAACTTGTAATAGAATAGGATTCTATTCCCTCATTTGCATGTTTCAGAGTGAAACTCTTTACGCAAATTTTCGTCCATTATTTTTTATTCTGTTTTCCCCTTTAATTTTGAGAGTTTTTTCATTGAGTCATCGCGTTTTCGACAAATTCTCGTGAAAATGGCACTAAATTAATTGTCTGTCTTGTACAAGCTCGGTTATTGGGGTAATGGCCCAACTGTTTCAAATCTATTAGTTTGAAGCGAACTTGTTAGCGAAAATATAATTTTATAAGGTTTTCCTAACAAATCGAGTGTTATTCGTATCGAATGCGTTGAAAGCAAAATCATAATACCGGCACTTTTTTCTACTTTCATTTTCATTGTCACTTGAATCCTTTGAAGGGCTTTAATAAAAGTGTTTTTCCGTCTTCTAATTGTGGAAATTAGGCGATATTTTCGGATTTTTGTGCTCTTTTGAGAAATTACTGTGACATCCATTGTTCATTTTAATTGGTTTCGCGCTCGGCTTAAAATTACTATGTAGTACGAATCCTTGTAATGAAACTCCGGTGGACTCAGACTGTTCACTTTGAATAACTATAAATAAATCATACCAGAGACCAAATCACCATTTGTTAGGGTTTTTTTTTGTGAATAATACTGCATTTTTTCAACTTTTGTCTTATATTGGTGATGACTATGAGCGTAATGATGATGGTTGATCATATATGCACAACATAAAGTTATATGTTGGAAAGCGTGTTATAATGTAATGTATAATGCAGGTATTTTTGGAAGTTGAATATGTTATACAATTCATTCAGTTGGTGTGCAAAACTGTGGACTTTGGTCAACTCATATAAGCACGTTTATAATTGTTCCTTTCCGCGTGCTACAACATGCCGCGCTAAGTAATACGCAGTCAAGCATTTCACCGAACTGCAAATTTCTCCATGACTGGATTGCTACTTCGAGGCACAGTATTTTACCAAACAGCAAATTTCTCCATGCCAGAATAATTATTGTTCTCTTTGTAGCCACGTATTTTACCGAACTGCCATTTTCTCCATGCCAGAATTTTCATTTTTGTGGCCACGTATTTTACCGAACTGCCATTTTCTCCATGCCAGAATTTTCATTTTTATGGCCACGTATTTTACCGTATCTCCATGCCCGAATAGTTATCTTTGAGGCCCACGCCGGCTCCTGGTTTAGTCCGGTAATTACTGCGGGGTTTTCTTGTGGGAGAACGATTGCCGTAATCCCTGCCATTCTAATGAGATTGAAGGATTAATGTCTTCGGTCGGCTTAAACTTGACTGCCTACCATCGAACATCAGAACAAGTGAAATTAGCTTCATTTTGATTATTGATGTTATCCTGAATAAGTGAACTTACGCCATTTTGATTAATAATGTTGCTCTACCATAGAACATTTGAACAAATGAAATTCGATCCACTTATGTTATTGATCTTGTATAACATGAAGAGTTTTGTCAACTTTCTCTTAATTGATGGTTTGATTGCTACTCATATATACATAAGTATTGCTGCACTAACGCGGAGATTTATTTGCTTAATTTAATGCGGTGGTCGCCATGTTCTTTCGATGAATTATTTTATTAGCGAACAATAAATTAATGATGTATTTCCTCGTAATGAATGCGGTCAAGTTTAATACTTATAGCATGTATGGAAAGAGAAAGCTACATCGTCTTATATACCATATGAAAATCTTTAATTCGTTAACTAATTTTTCTGTCCCCTATCGACTTTTATAGAGATGCTTTACGAATGTGATGCAGTTTAGCTGATGGTTGCAATCGATGTTCTTAGATATTTCAATGTATTTTAATGTATTTGAGTTACCAGGCTGGCACATATACCCTTCCTCAGTCACCCTGATGATGCAATGATGTCACTAAAATACCGTTGAGTTTCTCAATTGATTTGAGCTAAGGTTGCAGTGATACTTTATATACGTCCCATATTCTCGCCCGTTGAATTCCACCACTATACCCTTGCCCTACACTCAGAAAAATGAGCGTCTCATATTGTCCAAATAGTGGCATACTTTCTTACCCACAGAATGAGCTGGAACTGATGTAGCACTGACAAGTTCTTTAGCTTAGGCATTAGCTTTAGCCGAGTCAAACTGGGCAATGACGACTTAAGGACAAAAAAAGTACATCACTATTTCGACAAAATCTCGCTTATTTTTCTGAGTGTACCCTGCGTTTGCAGTCTCGCCACCAATGCTGTCAGTTAGCCTGTCGAGTTTCTCAATGATGCCCTACTGCCAGTGCGCACCTGTTGATGTCTATACATGTGTATAGGCGTGGCCAGCATTCTCTGCCATTATTAAATTCTAGTTTGGCTGGCATCCTATTCATAGACAAGGAATTCTCTTCTATTTTTTACCGTCAGTGGTAATGGTTTTGCAGATAATCAATAGCCTGAAGCGGTTGCAGTTGACGGAATGAGTGCAACACGCGAATTTTAATTAGAAAATTAGTATTTCTTAAGCTCCTTCGTCCCATGCTGTTACACTAGTTACTGCGAATTTCTGCATATTCGTGTGACTGTTACAGCTGTAGATGCGTGAGTACTGTATCTGGAGCATAACATGTGCAGTTGTATCATAACTTGACGCATTAGTTGCACCGATATCTTTAACATCATTGCTGAATAAAATTATTTAAGTAAGACATTCTTGCTTAGCGTAAGGCTCGAACTACATCGATATCGTTAGCATCGTCGACGAACATCACCAGAAGTAATATTTTCTCCAGAGCACCGATATCATTAACATCATCGTGGCAGAACATCACCAGAAGTAACATCCTCTCACAGAGCACCGACATCATTAACATCATCGTGGCAGAACATCACCAGAAGTAACATCACAGAGCGTAAGGCTGGCAGTATTTATATCATGAGGCGGGTAGAAACATCAGACTTGCTTACGTATGTATGAGCGCAGGTGGCTTCTCTGCATGGGCGGTCGTATATAGCTACCATCCTTGTAGGTACCTGCCAACGCCTGGCCCGCACTTCAGTCTTGGTTTTGACGTGCTCTCGAAACCTTGCATCGTAGACCTTAAATCTGCACACTTTAGTTTGATTTCTTAACGTGCATTCAATATTTTACTCCATAGTTTCTAAAGCTGAATACTCCAGTTATGTGATTCCTTGACATATATATACTCTCGATACCTTACTCCATAGTCTCTAAATCGTCACACTCACTTACTTCTTTGTGCTGGATTCAACTACAGATTTAAACTATTTTTGAATCAGTTTCATTTTTAGTGGAATATTTAGTAATTTGTGCAAGGTTTGTGCAATTCTCCATGAGATTTTGGGACGTTCAGTCCTTGAATGAGCCAGCTGTATTTCGATCGGTCCGTACTTGTTGCGCAGTTTGTTTGTGAGGTAGGCAGTTATTTTCAGTGCATTGATCGACCGCTTAATAAATCAAGTTGAACAAACAAACTACCTACTCACACTTCATTTCTATAATGCCTTAACCGCCTCCACTGCAATTTATTGAGTTTTCTAATTTGTTGATGAATCTCATGACCACCGCCATGTAGATTACGTCAATTGCAACTCTATGTATGCTACTTGAAAGCAACAACAAGGTAGAAGAATATTCATGAGCAACCTCTTGGGGTTCTGTTATCTAGATCTATTTTTTGGCCCCATTCAGCTTAGTGTAGTACGCATGTCTTATTGCTTATTACATTTAAAAGCATTGGACCACTGATCGATTGCGTCCTTGAGTATTATTGTCGTGTTGAATTAACGAGTTCTATTCTTTACCGCTGAGCCTTCCCACTTGCAACCGAGAATTAGACGCAGATTTTTGTGGGTGAAAGACATATAGAAAATAATGTGCTTTTATGGTATTGAAATATGCTTTATCTTTACCATTATTACTGCGGCTTTGACGGTGATCAGTGGAACAATCGCCACACGTGTAATTAAATCTGCATCGCTCCTCTCTGATGTCTTAGATGGCCGAGTAAAAATGATTTTGTCTGACATAACTACGAGCTTGTTAAATTTCATGGATTAAAGTTCGTCCTGTTTACGTGGGTTAGTAAATTCGTTCGTTCCGCCAAACTATCCTCCATGCTATGCTCCTGCATTCAGTGCGTAATTCAACAAACATTATTTTAATGAGGCAGTGTTCGTGTGA